GGACAAAATAGAAGCGCACCAACTGGACAAAATAGAAGCGCAGCAACTGGACAAAATAGAAGCGCACCAACTGGACAAAATAGAAGCGCACCAACGGAGCAACCTCGAGGAGGGGAGGGATGATCCCCCGGCGATGGCCCCCCTCTCAAAGAAGGAAGACCACCGAAGGGGCGTGCAAAACCGCCTAACGAGCATACAGGACGTTATCCAAAAGGACATCCCCACGTTGATAAAAAACACAGTGAATAACCACCTGACCCAAAACATAAATAAACAAGTGCAGGAAGCAATAAAAAAAAATTTGTCCAACTTGCTTCATCATAACGGAACGGACATCTCAGAAAAGAAGGCACAGAAATTTAGTACACAGGATGTGCAAGGCCAACTAAGCGACTTAGTAGACGCCCAAATGAGGAAGAATGCAAATCATATATACTCCACAGTAGAGAATCGCATTCAACAAAATGTGAATGAAGAAATAGAGAGGAGCACACACATCGTGAAGAAGCAGATAAAACAAAACGTAACCGACCAGATTGAAACAAACCTTGAAAGAGTCTACAACGAGGTTGATCTAAAGGTAGAAAAAAAAGTCAGTAACGAATTAGCCAAAAATATGAATAGCGTACAAAGTAATCTGCTCCAAAATGTAAATAACGAACTGAAGCGGAAGGTAAAACTTATTGGAGCAAATGTAGACAGTCAACTTAGGGTTCTCATCTCAAGTGAGCTCAAAAGAAGCTTAGACTTTCTACACAATCGAATTAACGATAACATGAATAGAGAGTTAAAGAAATGTCTTTCAATTGTGAATAGAAATTTTGATGATAACTTCCATGAGCACATGGAGAGAAGCGTCCAGATCTTCCTAAAGAATGTCTGTGAATGTCTAAGTCAGGAAATTAAAAACAACGTTAACGTGATGGAGAAAAGTATGATGACCAACTGGAATGATCACGTTTTGGAGAAGGTCACAAGGAGAACGGAGGAGGCGATAAACCGAGTTGAGAAGGCCATGATCCTAATGGATAACACCACGAAGAGAGCGGAAGAAGCCGTGGGTCTGACTAAACACATCTCGGAGGGCATCTCCTCCGAGGTGAGAAGCTGCTTCGATGAGTTCGCCACATCCGTGCAGGAAGGCATTTGTGGGGAGCTGAGAAGCGGCCTACAAAGTGGCGTACAATACCTCAGTAAAGAGAACGAAGTGGCGTCTGTAAAGATGACCCAAGTGATATGTGCCAAAGTGGAGGCCGCGACGAGCTCCGAGTTGGCACGACAAATGGGTACGCTCCTCGGTGGTCTGCGCGACGGGGTGAGAGACAACCTGGGCAGCATGGAGGTGGCTCTGAAGGGAAGTGTCGAGGCAACCCTCAAGCGAAGCGTAGAGACCACTTTGAAGGGAAGCCTCGAGGGAACGCTGAAGCGAAGCGTAGAGACCACTTTGAAGGGAAGCCTCGAGGGAACGCTGAAGCGAAGCGTAGAGACCACTTTGAAGGGAAGCCTCGAGGGAACGCTGAAGCGAAGCGTAGAGACCACTTTGAAGGGAAGCCTCGAGGGAACGCTGAAGCGAAGCGTAGAGACCACTTTGAAGGGAAGCCTCGAGGGAACGCTGAAGCGAAGCGTAGAGACCACTTTGAAGGGAAGCCTCGAGGGAACGCTGAAGCGAAGCGTAGAGACCACTTTGAAGGGAAGCCTCGAGGAAACCCTAAAGAGAAGCCTCCAAACCATCCTGCGGGAAGAACTCAGCAAAACCGCACAGATGCTGTACACCGATGCGTGCGAAGAAGAGGCCAAGAGGAGCGACACAAAATTAGAGACAGTCCTGAATACCTCAAACAAAAATTTCCACGCCCTGATCAAAGTGCAGAGATCCCTGTCGACCCACCTGAACAGAGAGATGAGAATGGTAAAAGACATGAAGGCCAACATGGTTGATGTGAAAACATTTTTTAAAACGTGCTTAACCTGTCTGGAGGAGAAATTGTCCGACGCGATGGAGAAGAACATCAGTGCAGTGATAGACACGAAGGAAGTGATAAACACGAAGGAAGAGATAGACACGAGTGCAGTCATAGAGACGAGGGAGTCTATCCTTAGCAGGTTGGACAATTCCTTTTCCGGCATGGAAAAACTCCTCAGTCAACTCTGCGAGAAGGTGGTTCAGCGGGTAGGAGAGGCCAACGAGAAGTACGCTCATCACATTGCAGAAAAGGTTGGCACAATGGCGAGTACTCACCAGAGTCTTATGAAAGATGAGGGCACCGCGACAGAGGTGCGCCTCGAAAAGATGACCCAAGATATACTGCATCTGACCGAAGCAACCGCGCAAAGGACATACGAACGGCTTAGAATCAACAACGAGGATGTGCTAACTGCCTTTATCGACAATGTACAAAGGGAAAAGGCTCACATGATTATGCACGCAGAAGAAATTATGGCCTGTTTCAAGAAGAGCATAGAGGAACACTCCAGAAACATGCTAGACAATTTGAGTTCGTTGCTTAATGAGAAGGACGGACACATGATGGAGGGATTAAAACAGGTCAGGAGCGAACTTGACATTAAGCTCGAAGAACAAACCAAACAGTTTTTAAGTCACCTCGACCGGAAGATAAACCATGCTATTCGGGGGAGAGTACGTCGTGAGGGGGGTACAGATTGGCATGATGACGCCAACCAGGTGCAGAGAATCACCTTAGGGCCAGACCGGGGTATACCATTTCGTGTCGACAAGCAGAAGAGGTACCTAATTGGTAGCGACATGGTGGAAAATCCTTTGGGCAGCACCGGTCGAGGAGAGCACAGGGAGAGGAAGCGTGGAATGGTGCGTGAAGTGACGCGTGGGATGAAGCGTGGAATGAAGCGTAGAATGAAGCATCGAATGAAACCTGCACTGGATTGGACGCTGTGCCGTGGCGCGCACGGAGAGATGGACCAACCCAACAGACGCATCCGGAAGAGTGTAAATAAGAGGAACCCCAATCAGCCGCAGAACGAGACAGAGGCTACGCGCAAGAGGAAGCCAATTTACGTCGTCAATTACTTAAGGAGCAAAAACAACGACCTCATCAAGGTGGTTCAGCATTTGCATGAAAAGACGAGGAAGATAATATAACTCTGTGCGATTGATAGTGCCGTCGTATGTGTGTCCCCCTATCTGAAATGAACATTCGGAGAGTGCACCAATTTTTTTTGTTTTTTTTTTTCTTCTACTACGTTGCCTCCCTATGAAGAGATGGAGAATTCTCAAACGGCGGGAAGGGGGGAGGTAACTCCCACAGTGCAGAAGAGGTGGATCTCCTTCCCCATCCAACCGCCCCCCCTCCCTCAACCTGCCAAGGTTAAGAAGCGTCTAATTATTTCTACACCTTTGAATCAAAATTTTTTTTTTAACCTCTCGTATGTATATATCTATATGTGCGGGTGTGTACCTACGTTTGCATCTTCGCCGCGGCTCCGCGGAAAAAAGGAAAAAAAAAAAAAAAAACGCAACGCAACGCGACGAATCCAAACGAAACAAAATGGAAATACCAAAAGACAGACAATTCCGAAAAGAAGGGGCTCCCAGGGGATGGAGCGCCTTCGGTGAGCGCGGCTCCCCTATATCGTACAGGAGCCAACCTTTGCATTGCTTCAAAGGGGGGGCGAACCAATTTAGTAAGTACAAAAACGCGGTAACACCTCGCTAGGGAAGAAGTCTCCAAAGACACCCGCCCCCCCCGTTCCACAGGTGCACTAATGCGTAGCGTAACATTACCCGTGCAGCGCATTGACTCCCTCTCCGATCTCACATTTGCCATTTGAAGAAGGAAAAATAAAGGAACTCTATTCCGTGCGCGACATGTTTGTCGTTTCGTTAATCTCTGCGAAGTGGCGTAGTCAAATGGATCTCCATTTTGGGATTTTTTTTTGTCCACCAAAAAATAGGACTCTTTTTTTTTATGAGGTCTCTCCGAATTGATTACCCCTCAATGAAGGGAGGAGAAAAAAAAAAAAAAAGTCGAACGTGTCTTATGTCCCATTTTAAAAGAAAGGTCTATGGTAAGGGTGGGGTTGGGGCACTTCATTTCTTCTCTTTTCTTTTCTTTTATTTTTTTGTTTGGATTATCCATTCAATGTATTGAACGTTCTAATTGTGCTTTTAAATGTATGATGATTCTTCCCGAGTTGACAGAGTCCCCTCCACCGTTTTTTTTTTTTTTTTTTTTTTTCGATCCTGTTGACTACGTTTCCACTTTTGAATCATCGAATGAAGAAGCTCCTGGTGTTGGTGGATCCACTTAGATTCGCTCATTCGTGGCTGTCCACAACCTGCTAGGATGTGCAAAGCGGGGGGGTGGGTGAGGATAGTAGCATAGTGACGGGTCCCTCTCCTCTGTGGACATCTCTGCAGACGGATAAAGGGTAAAAGTGGGTCTCCCCCCATTCGTCCGCTTCGTCTGTAGTGTCGTGTCCGCTTTGTCTACTTTTCCCTCTTCTTCCCCTTCTTCCCCTGCCCCATGAGGAAATCGCTCAAGCTGTGGAGGCTCGTTAAGGGGAGGATCTCTCCACATGCGGGCACCCCCCTTACAATTATAAGTGCCTTCTTTTTTGTCTTCCTTTCTGCCTACGCCATTTGGTAATGACAGAGCTAACGCTGAGGCGGAGACGACGCGGCACGTTACAACACCTGATGCGAGATAGGCGATAGGCAATACGCGATAGGCGATACGTGATTTTCCTTGCCGGGGTTCATCGCAGGGGAGTAGCGGACGACTCACTTTACCACATGAACATCTGTATGCAGTCGGGGAGCCTCTCACAAGTTATCCCTCCCATTACAAATGTTTTTATTACAGGAAGGTTAGAGAACGTTCCAAGGGGATGCGTCCCCGGGGAAGTCGATCCAAAAGAGGACGGAAAGCTAAGCGGGAAGTAGCCAGTTTTCGCGGCGGGGAGGACGCACAGTTAGGAGAAGATGGTGACGATGAAGACAGCGGTGATAGGATCGGGGACGAAACTGCCGTCCAGGGGGATCACTCCAATGCAGACTCACACGAAATGAGCAATGGTGAAAAAACGTCCAAAGCGGAAAGGAAAAAAATAAAAGCTTACTTAAAGTTAAACGAAGGTCTCGACAACATCAGAGATGAGTTGCGTCAAATTGACATAGAATTAAAGAAAATTCTGCACAAAGAGAGCCTCCACTTGGATGCCTTTTACAAGTTCATCCAGGCAGACAATCCTGCATCTAGAAAGACACACTCACTGAAGAACCTGCAGCAGAATCGCTCAATTGATTCTATGGTGGAAAAGGAGCCTCGGGGGAATTGCCTAACAAAGAATGGACGAGGTTTGCATAGGGTCCAGGAAACAGGAGCAAACGAGGACAGAAGTAGCTGTGGCTGTAGCGGTAGCTCCGTGGGAGGGGCGGATAGGGAAGAGCAGATGGGCACGTCCAGGGGAGATTCCTCAGACTCGCCAGGTTCTTCCTGTTCGCCCGATTCTCCTAAAGGGGCCAGCTCGACCCACCTTAACCATGAATCCCTTTCGAATGGCGAGAAAAAGTTTGACTTTGAAGCGAAGGGGGAGAAAAAGGATCCATTCGACGGGGACACACAGGGAGTTGATACCAAAGTGAAAAGAGAGTCAGTCCCTTGTAGGGGACACGGACAGGCCCGAAATGTCAGAGATGTGGAGTCTCTTTCTGTGGAGAGTGACCCATCAGATGGCCAAATGGTCACTGCGGGTTCTGCCGCTTCGGATGAGGCCATCTCCGGTGGTGGCGCCAACGCGATAGGCTCGCCCGGGGAGGCCACCGAATTGGGGGAAGAGAGTCCTGAAAATGGCATAAAAGAAATGGGTTCATCTGTGAAAGTTGCAGAAGAGAGTCCTAAAAGGGGAGTAAAAGAAATCGGTTCATCCGTAGAAGTGGGAGAAGCGGGTTCTGTCAGCGAAGTAAAAGGAGATGATGCGCCTGTGGAGGTGGGAGAAGCGGGTTCTATGAACGAAGTAAAAGAAATGGGTTCATCAGTGGAAGTGGGAGAGGCGGATTCTAAAAGTGGGGTTAGAAGCACGGAAACGTCCAGCAGAGCCAAAGAATTGGACCCATCCAACAATCTGGAACAAACAGAAGAATCAAACTTAGTCAAAGAGATAAGAGAATCTATCCAAGTCAAAGGAGCAGAAATAGCCAACCAGGACAAAGAAGTAGGTTGTCTCAACCAAGCCGAAGAAATGAGATCCTCTGACGAACTAAAAGAGGTGGACTCACCCGCCCAATTGAAAGAAGTAGACACGTCAAGCATGAACGCGAACGACGCCCCAGAGGGACAAGGGGGACTCGGAAAAGATTCAGTGGAGAGGAAGAGGAGCAGCCAACAAGGAATCCAAAAGGGGGATGGCAGTTCGGTCGGAAGGGACGCCGAGGGACAGGGAAAGGAAGGCGAAATGGTGGAACAGAAGGGAAAGGTGAAAGATGGCGAAGGGGAGAGAGATTGCAAAATGGAGAAAGATGGAAAAGTGGAGAGAGATGGAAAAATGGAGAAAGATTGCAAAATGGAGAAAAATGGAAAACGGGAGAAAGATTCCAAAATGGACAAAACTGACCAAGGGGACGACGCGAACCTCGATGGGGCAGAAGGACGACCAAACAGCAGAGGCAGGGAAGGCTCATTATTTAACGCAATAGGGAACCTCTTCCGTAGAAACAAAAAAAAAGTTCAGAGGGAACCTCCAAAAGAGAAAGGACAAGAGGAGCAAGTAGAAGTTTACGACGTAAAAAATGAAAGCGAAAAAAGTGAAAAATGTGAAAAAAGTGAAAAATGTGAAAAAAGTGAAAAAAGTGAAAAACGTGAAAAAAGTGAAAAATGTGAAAAAAGTGAAAAAAATGAAAAAAGTGAAAAAAGTGAAGAAAGTGAAAAAAGCGAAAAAGACGAAAAAGACGAAAAAGGCGAAAAAATGCAAAGTGCAGAATCAAAAAAAATGAAAGACGATGCAGAGAGGGGTGACGATGAGCTAGCAAAAATTAAAAGCTCAAACGGTGACGATGCAGATGTGGGTGTGTGTGCAAAGAGCGCGGACAAATCGATCAGCGGGGACGACGGGATCAACTCGGATACGGAAATACGAAGTGACGTTTCAGTTTATACAAATGCCAAGTCGGAGGGGGAAGCTCTTCACATGGAGAAGCAGGAGGAGGAAGCTATTCATGTGGACACACCGGAGGGAAGTTGCTCAGGTGAATCTATGAGTCAGGGTGGAAGAGGACGAACTGTGGGTAGAGGGGAGAATGACCAGAAAGAGGACCAACATGAAGAAGCGGCACGTGTAAAAGTCAACGAAGGGGACCAAAAAGGTCAAGAAAAATATTTCAATGAGAGGACACCCCCAAACGTAGACCCAACTGTCGTAAGATGCAAAGATAAATTTGGATCTCTTGATTCCGGGGAAACCCACCAAAGGGAAGGTGGCGGAAAAGTCGTCATAAAGGACGACGCAGAGGATGACCAAGAGGATGACGCAGAGGACGACGCAAAGGACGACGTAAAGAACGAATGGCATAACAGCCACAACGGCACCAATGGCATTCACAACAATAACGGAGACAAATCAGTGGCAGATACAGACGATTGCACTAAAGAGCTGGAGACAAAAATAAGTCACCGAAATAGACAGGAGCAGATGAACCGAAGAAGAAGCGCAAATGAAGACGCATCTGGGGGGCAAGGTCAAGCAATTGAAAGTGATCCCACTGGACATGCCAGCGAAGCAGGCGACCTGAAGACAGACACGGAAGAGGAGAGCAGCGGGGAAGTTCAGCAATCTGAAAAAGGTCAGCAGTCTAAAAAAAGTGAGCAGTCTGAAGAAGATGAAAAATCTGAAACAGATGAACCAAACAAACAGAGCGAACCACGTGAGGGAACCCCAAATGGAGACAACGATGGCTATCGACATGAAATACCAAGAGGGGGATCTTCCAAAGAGGTGAAAAGTGAAGGAAATGAATTGGAGGACGGAAAAATGGAGACAGTCGAAGATACCGCGTCGGTGATTGCTTCTAAGGAAGGGGGAGATGTGACGGAGGAACGAAATTTGAAGACCCTCCGCGTGTGGGGGTCAGCCGATAGGAAAGAAAACGACGCGAACGACTTGGGTGCTGTTGGTGGTTCGAAGGAATTGACGAATGCAGGTTCAGCGCAATTAAGTGATAAAGGCTCGGAAGGGGGTTCCCTCGTTAGCGGGGGAGGTTATTTGAAAGAAAAAGACATGAACGAGATTCCATCGGTAAGCGGCGCATGTGATTTGAAAGAAAAGAGCATGAAGGAGACTCCATTCGTTATCGGGGTAGGTCATTCAGACGGAATTGCGTCGAGGAAGGGATCCTATGTTATCGGAGCAAGCCAGTTTAATCGGGACACGGCAAAGAAACACTCGCACGATAGCAGCGTAGTTGGATTGACAGAAAACGCGCCAGAAAAAAACTCCTTCGTTAGAAGGGAATCCGACTCGAATGAAGACAGCAGAAGGAAGGCTTCCCGCATGACTGTTCCAGATGATTGGCCTGAAAACGAGTCAAAGAGGGGATCATATGTTGCAAGCGAAATCCGCTCAAGTGAAGGAGACTCAAAGAGGGGTTCACTTGTTAGCCGAGAAGGCCACTCCGGTGAAGGAGCCTCAACGGGGGATTCACCTGCTGAGAGGACAATCGATTCGAAAGGAAAGGAGCCCAAGACGGTCTCATATGTAAGGGGGTTAGGCCATTCGATGGAGGAGGACACTAAAGGCACAAACGGCGCGAATGACACGAAAGGCACGAAGGACATTTGGCACATGAAGACACCGGACGACGTGAGTGAAAGCAGTTCGGAAAAACTACACGTAGATATCGACACTTACCTGAGCGTTAACCAGGCATGCAATTCAAATGAGACTAAATCGGAGGAATCCATTACGAACAGAAAAGTCATTTCCAATGCAAGCCGAGCAAAGGAGTCCAGAGGTGGAAGCCCAGACAGGGTGAAAGAAAACATGGAAAACAACCTGTGCGTAGGGAAGTCTGGGGACGCAAATGGGAGCGAGGAAAGGAGGGGTTCAGATATAATCGATTCGGATTACTCACATGGAAGCAGTAGGAAGAAATCATCACTTATTATCGATCCGGATTACTCCTATCGAACCAGTGCGAAGACCGCATCGCTTATTAACAGGGCAGCCCACTCACACGAGAACGATTCAGACGAATTATGCATAAACAACGTCACGAAGATCTCTGCTGACAGGTTAGATGATTTTATTCAAAAGGGCATTAGTAAGACAAGGTACTATGCGGACCCCTCAGGGGATGCAAGTGAGAGATTTCCCACAAGGGGATCATACGTTAAGAAGACAACCCATTTTAGTGAAAACAAATCGAAGAGGGATTCTTGCGTGGACAGGAAAAGCGCTACGAATGAGCGAAACGAACTGAATTTTTGCATTAACAGGTCAGGAGATTCCAGTGTGAAAGAGGTCAAGAAGGGCTCACACAGGGACAGTTCATCCGAGTGGAAGGAAAACGACGCAGATGGATTGGCGGTAAGCGACGCAGATGAACTGGACGCAGCTGAATTGGGGGTAGACAGTATGAGTGAAAATTGCGCCGAGGGAGTCTCCTATGTGGACAGTTCAGAGGGCTTCGAAGGAAGGAGCGGAAGGAGGGGGTCGCACGTGGACGGGTCAAGGAGGAGGTCCTACATGAGCAGAGAAACCCATCTGAACGAAGATAACACTAAGAGGAGATCCCGCGTCAGTGTGGCAGACCATCCTCACGAAGACAACACAAGGAAGGGATCCTATCTGATCAGCGCTGCTGATTCGAATCAAAGGAGCGGCAGGAACTCCTCTCAAATTAGCTGTCCAGATAACTGGAGTGACAGGAACCGAAGCAAGCCTTATCATATGGAAAGGACTCCCCATCTGAGTGAAACCAGTTCCAAGACGGAGTCATACATGGAAGCTTCGGAGGACACACGCACAAAGGATAGAACTGTATTGTATATTAACAGGTCAGGTGATCTGGGGGGATGCAGATCGAGGAAGGCCTCACACATTAGCAGCAAAAGTGACGTGGGCCAAAGGAAAGGAAGCGCATCGTGTATCACTACGTCGGACGGGCTGAAGGATAACGACACAGGGAAAACGTGGCGTGTGAATCATACAGACTATTCGAAAGAAAACGACGGAAGTGCTTCGCTCGTTGGACAATCAGGCGAGTTAGACGAAGGTAACACGAAGAAGACTTCATTTGTGGAGGAAGGAAGTGAGTGGTACCTTAGCCGGTCGGGAGATTTCATGGGAAACGATTCAGAAGAAGTGAAGGTGGCCGCTTCAAACAAATTAAATGTTAGCCGGCTGGGAGATCCCCCTGGAAACGATGCAGAGGAAAAGGCCTGTATTAATAGGCCAGGCTACCCCTGTGAGAGCAGCCTAATCGAAGAACGTACGGAAGACGCAACGAGGTTAAGTGTTAGGAGGGGAGAAAATGCAATCGAACAGAGGGCAGTGCGAATGTCACCCGGTAGAAGGTTCGTCAGTTCAGCTCGAAGCGAGACAGGGCACCCCATTTATCTGACCAGTGGAGGCAATTTTATTGAAAACGATTTGAGGAAATGGAGCCTTAGCACATCCAAGGGGGGTTCATCTGTGAAAAAGTCCACCGATTCGAAGTCCGCCGATCCAAATGGAAAGGACTCGAAAGAACTAACAGGAGATGGGGCGAACAAGATAAGAGAAAACAGTTCAAGCCAGTCACATGAAGACAACTCCGGGAAGTCCTACTTTATCCTCGCCGATAATTCAAAGGGGGAGACAGAAAGGAGCAGATCGTATGTAAAGGGAACAGATAACTCGAATGAAGACATCCCAAATGGGACATGCACAGAGGGAGAGCCATCGTCAAGTATTACCAATTTGAGTGGAATGAGCAGAATGAGCGGAATGAGTAGAATGAGTAGAATGAGCGGAATGAGTGGATGCAAGTCAAACAGGGGGGCGTTCACCGACATGACAATCCCTTCCAGTGACAGCGGCGGTAGGAAGACTTCCCACATCATGAGCAGGACAGACGGGTCGAATGAAATTATTGCAAGGGAAGCCTCCGACATGAACTATGTATCCACCTTTGAGAAAGATGACACAAATGAATCCATCGTTAGCATATCATCGGTAGGGTCGAAAAGAAGCAAGATAAAGAAGGGGTTACTACGTATGAGGAGGTCGGACCGTTTGAATGAGGAAGAGTGCTCGAAGAGCCAGCCTATCGGTGGTGTTGCCGATTCGAACGAGGGGAGCGGACAGAAGGGATCCTACGTGGACAGGGAAGATCGCTCCAGGGAAGCTTCCCAAATTAGTAGTCCAGATAACTGGAGTGAGCAGAACGGAAGGAAGGGCTCGCATACCTACAGGATATACAGCTCAAACGAAAACGAATTAGCGGAAGAATCGAGCATTAACAACTCAGGCGATTTACCTAAAAACGGTAATAGGAAGAAGTCTTACACAAAGAAGTCACACGATTACAATGAAAAGAACAAAGGGGAAGCCACTGGCGTCAAGGGATCAGATGATTCGAAGGAAGGAAGCACAAACGAATTGGACACAGAGGATGCGACGAAATGGACAGTCAACGCTTCACCCCATTTAGAGAAAAAAAATGGAAGGAAGACGTCACATATGAATAGGCCAAACGATTCCAACGAAATGAACACAAGGAGGGACTCGTGTTTTGAGGAGTCAATTCATTTTAGTGAAAACGCGTCGAGGAAGACCTCACATGTGCTGAAGTCAGAGACAGCCGAGATGGCCAACAAAACAGCGGACTCAAATGAAAGCGACTCAACCAAGGCATGTATTAACAGTGTAGGCGATACAAATGAAGGCGACTCAACCAAGGCATGTATTAACACTGCAGCCGATACGAATGAAAGCACCTCTGAGGGGGTGTCCTATGTTAGTGGGTTGCCCCATATGAGTGAAAGCAACACGAAGAAGAGTTCATTTATTGACACGTCTGACCCTCTGAATGAGGACCACTCGAAGAGTTTCTCCATTGGCAGGGCTGGCGGTTTTAATGATGAGAGGCAAAGGGGGTGCCACATAAACAGGGTTATTCATTTAAATGAAATACACAGTAACACATCGCTCACGAATCGGAATGGTGAATTGGCTGAGAAGAGGGAACAAGATGTTGCCAGCACTAGCTTAGGTGATGCAGATGAAATGAACGACATTACTTCACACTCAAACGGGGCTGATGAATTAGCCGAGAAGAGCAATCAACACTTCTGCATGAACAAGTCAGGTGATATAGACAAAACGGAAGATCACACTTCGCAGGAGAGCCGGATGGCCACCGCTCAGGAAACGCAGCGGACAGGTGGATCGAGGACAACAAACGCAGTCAGTGAAAGCCAAAAGCCGATTAAAAAATTGAGAGAGTATTTTGTGAGTGGAAAAAACGATTCAGAGATGTTGAAAGATAGCACGACGGACGTAAGTGGGGGACTACGCGAAAGGGGTACAGACAGAAGGGGTACAGACGAAAAAAGCACAAACGAAAAAGGCAAAGACGAAAACAGAACAGATAAAAAAAGCACAAACGAAAAAGGAACAGACGAAAGGAGCAACTCTGACCATTTTAAAAACATCCAGGGGAAATATAAATTTCAAATGAACATGAAGGAGGAGGAAATAAACGAGCTACAGAAAAAGTTAAAGGATGAATTTCAAATGCTACACGAAATGAGCAAAAAGAAAAACAGCCTGAAAAATATTTTGGAAAATTGTGTACATGTTAAGTGTGTGGATAGTTCCAAACAAGCGATTGACGAGGAGCAGTACGACCGAGTTGATTTGAAACACACCCTGAGTGGGAGTAGAAGCGGAACTGGGAGCGGAAGTGGAAAGGAACATACTGGGGGTGACGAAACGGGGAAAGTGCACCCGAAGGAGCCTTTGGCTGACGTTCAAGACGAAAGCACATTTGAAGATACACGACCGGAGGAGGCATTCGACATGTCCAACGTAAGGCGGGCACTGGGGGTGGAGCGGCGCTTACCCTGATGTGCAGACGTGTTGATTTGCATGTGCTCACTGCACTGTTTGCTTACGCCTGCTGGTGCCTTTCCCCCTTTTAGTTTTCCACCGAGATGAGTAACCGCGAAATGAAGAAGCTGAGAAAGTGGAAGGTGAGTCACATGCTGGAGAGCGGTCCCAACGTGAGGTCATTCCTGTGTGTTGTTCTTTTCCCCCTTGTGAGCGTGATCACATGGGGGTGGCGCTTCACCACAAATGGTGCACTCCAAACGGTGGCACCCCCATTTGTCCCTCTCTCCCCCTTTGCAGTCACTAATGCTATCAAAGGAGCACAAAGACGACTGGCTGTCATCCGACGTCCTCTTATGGTGTTTCTTGAACTTCATCAAATTGAAGAAGATCGTGAGCATAACTGAGTTGTCGGTTAAGTTTCAAACGAAGCGGGAGGTGAGCGCGGTGTGGTACTTTCGTTGGGGCGGAGTCAACACGTGTCCGCATTTGTAGGCGGCTGCATCTATACACGGCTGCTCCACAGGAATTCCCCCCACACACCATTCACTGACCCACCCGCAGAACATACGGAGAAAACTCAAAGAACTCGAAGAACACGACATGATTCAGGGGGTCATGGACACGGAAGAGAACTACATCTACTTGTCCCAGGAGGAGGTCACGAAACTGTGTGTGGAGATCCTGTCCATTGAGAAAATAAAAACACACGAGGATTTCGTGGAAATATGCAACAAGGTCATATCTCTCAGTATCAACGACCAGGTGCGTTTTTCCCCCCATGCGGCTCTCCTTCATCCCAATTGGCCAAAACGTTTTGCGCACAGTTGCCACGAACAGCAGAGAAAAGGATCTCTTCACAATCATATGCACTTTCTTCCCAACCGCAGGATGTGCAAAAATTGAAAGAAGTGGAGGAAAAAATTGTTGAAGCGAATAAAAAAAGATATTCCGATTTTGCCTGCACAACCTGACCACTCGCGGTGAAAAAAAAAAAAAAAAAAAAATAGCTGTATGAACAGAAATGGCTAGCTACGCTCTGCACACGACGCGATGTTGAGCAGTACCTTTCTTTGTTGCCTCTTTCTTGGGCACACTTCCTCTTCTGCACCTAAAATTGGCCCACTTTTTTTGCGATACCCTTTTGGGCTACTTTTTCTACTACTTCTTGAAGTGGTTTTTTAAAAACTCGATACACTTCGCTTCGTCCTCTCCGTGGATGCAGGAAAACCGAATCTGCGAGGGGAATGGGGCGCAGGCGAGTCAATGTTTTGTGGACGCTTTGTTGACACTTTAGCGACGCTCTATAGGGCCACTCAGTACGTGCCAACTGGTATGCCTCTTCGCACGCGCAGGGTCACATCGCAAGCGCCTTTTTAACTTTTCCCCTTATTTTATTTTTTTTTTTTTCTCTTTCCCGTTTTTTCTTTATCTCTGCTTTGCCCCCTCGCGCGTCGGGCATGGCGCCTCTCTGCCTTACAATTTGCTCGTAGACCTCGCCGATCCTGTTGGGCGAGAGCTGCGGGAAGTTGTGCCGAATATCCGGCCACTTGAGAAACGGCTTGACGTTATAAGCTGCCTGCAATTTATTTTCCAAAATAAACTGGTACAGCTTTTTGGCGAAGTCGGACAAGTACACGTCCGCGGTGATGGTGGTGACGAACATTTTATTCACCTCCTTATATTTGTGGAAGATAAAAAAAATTAAAAGCAGCAAGTCCCATTTCTCTCCAACGCTTTTTAGGAACAACACAACGTCCCCAATGATGTGTGCATTCTTCTTCCCATCACAAGTGCTATTTTTTAAAAAATTAAAAACGTCTATATTTTTGTACAGCTTGTACAGGCTGCTAAACCCTTCATATATCTGCACACAAAATTTTCCATGCTTGAGTGGAAATTTTAGGGATTCCCTAATTATGAAGGAGACGACCGGTTCACTTTTTCCTCCTTTTTTTATCTGCACGTGGTGATTTTTTAGCGGCAGGAGGTACAAGCAGAGCTGTACATTGTTCACATTTTCATGATAATTCATCCCGGGGAAGGTTTCCCTCAACAGGTTGTTCTTTTCGATGTCTTTAAAAAATTTTACGTATTGCAGTCCTTCCACACACCAGTCTGTTTTTTCATCCCCACTCGTCTGGAGGGGGGAGAATTCCCCCGGTTGGGAGTACGCCCCTGTTTCCAGCGTGCTTGTTATGCTGCCCATTTTGTTGTCACCCCTGGGGGAGGCGTTGACAAATGTCCCCTCTGCGTGGCCTTCCTCGTGATGGATCCCCCCGTTGGCGGAGCGGACATTTCCGTTTTGCACCCCAGTTGAGTCGAGGCCCCCATTGGGTGGGCCTGCACCGTTCGCAGCGTTGTTAGTGGCAGCGTTGTTAGTGGCAGCGTTGTTAGTGGCAGCGTTGTTAGCCGCTTCGCTGTTAGTCGCTTCGTTGGCGTCCCCCGAGAGGAGGTCCCCCTGGAGGAGGTTCCCCTTCTTGTTCACCCTGTCACCCTTCCGCCGATCTGTTTCAAGAACCTCCCCATTCTGTACAAAGTACTCCCCCGGTAGAGAAAAAATCTCCTTCGCATAGGAACTATAATTTAACAAGGTCAAAGAAAGAACGATATTTTCACACCTCTTGGAAAATATTTTCATCATTTCAGAAGAGAGTCTACTTCTGGAGATTTTCTTTTTAAAAGATTTCATAATGTGTTCATTTTTTAAGACGTCAAAGACGGATTTCTCCACGAAGAAGTTAAAGAAGCCACAAAATCGAATGCACCTGATTATTCGAAGAGGGTCATCCAGGAAGGTAGACAAAGGATCCAGTGGGGTGCAAATGACTTTATTTTTTAAATGGAGAATACCCCTTCTAGTGTAGTCTTCCACTCTATTGTTGCTCAAATTGTAGAAGAGTGCATTTACAGTGAAATCTCTTCTCAGTGCATCTTCCTCTGGAGTCCCAATAACAATCTCCGGGATTCGACTCTCTTCTGTGTACTTCTCATTCCTCAGGTTAACAATATCCACTTGGAAATTAAACAGATGAAAGCTAGACGTTTCTAGGTGTTTGGACTGATCTGAGTTAATTTTAATGATGCCAAAATTGAAGTTCTTTTTCTCCTTTTCTTGTATGTACTTCTTTATATAGTTACAAAAGTCTGACCCTTTCATATTGTCTACTGTAAGATCAATGTCATCATTTGAGATGCCAAGAAATTTGTCTCGTACCCACCCCCCGACCACCCTCAGGGTACATTGTAGATTGTACGCCTCGTTTACCTTCTGAAGGAATGAGAACAGTTCTTCTTCTTCCTTCCTCATGGTTTTTTTTATCAGCTCCTCGATTTGGAGAGTCCCCTCTGGGTGGGGGGAGGCGCTCTGATCACTTGATACTTCGCCTTTCGGCCCCTTTGGTACTTCGCTTTGCTGCCCATTTGGTGTCCCACCTCCCTTCCCATTTGGTGTCCCGCCTCCCTTCCCATTTGGCATTCCCCCCACGGCCTGCGCCAACTCCCTTTCGTCTACAACATACTTGTTCAAGTAGCTAACGTAGGCCTCTTCCTCCATCTCCCCCCTCGTGCTGTATCTGCGCAGGCTGAAACGTCTGCTGCAGCTTCGGAGGCTGAAACGTTTTCTGTTGTTGCTTCTTCCCCCCAAGTGGTGGCTCCTTCTATTTGCATTTAAGAAAAGAAAGCCTCTCGTGCAATTGAAAATTTTTTTTTTCCCTAGAAGATTCATGTGATTATTTTTCCAGCCGAAAAATAACTTGGCATGGTGGTGTTTCTTCTTGGTAAGGAGGGTGGAGGCGGAGTTTCGGCCCGCTCCCTTCACGGCGGTTGTTGCCACGAGGAGCAGGATGAGCGGCAGCAACGGGAGCAGAGGCAACAGCAGTGATCTCAGCGACCGCAGCGATCGAAGCGGCTGCGGTAGTGGAAGAGGCAGCGGGGGGACGTATGCAGGGACGTCGAGTGAGCTCATTCATTATGGATTGTTAATGAGACGCAGGTCATTCCGGAATCGGCCACGCGGTTGCGCTGTACGGGGGTGCCAGCGGGAGTTCGATCTCCGCGCAGGTTGGCTACTTACATGGGCATGTCCCAGTGCGGACGTCCCGCTTTGGGCAGCGGTCAACGGGAAGCAGCCAACGGTTAATCTGCTTGCATAGGAGAGGAGCGATGCACCGCGAACTGGACTCCACACAGCACGAGCATTGCACAGGGACACGATTCAAATGTAGCAACACAAACCTATAATAGGTGAGAATATTTTTAACGTGACCCGTGTGCATATTTGGGACGGTCGACCCGGCGATGCTTCTCCCGTGTTCGCTCTGGAAAAAAAAAAAAAAAAATCAAGCCTAGATGATAAGTTATAAGTAA